GAAGGTGGGCCCTGGCCTGGCCTGAGCCTCCAGCTAGGCTTGGTGGTGGAGGGGCAGGGGCAGGAGTAGGAGGTGGTGCTGCTCAGGTGCCAGCACCGTGCCCCTCCACCCTGGCTCTCCTCAGGCATCCGGCGGGCCTTCAGGGAGGGGAAGGTGGCCAGCCTGATCGGTGTGGAGGGCGGCCACTCCATCGACAGCAGCCTGGGTGTCCTGCGGGCCTTCTACCAGCTGGGGATGCGATACATGACCCTCACTCACAACTGCAACACACCCTGGTAAGGGTCCCCGCTGTGGCCACTGAGGTCAGGAGGTAGCATCAACCCACCCCCACCACCAACGGTCTCCTTCACCCCCTGTGAGTCCCAGGCCCAGCCTGGTCTGCCAGGCAGGTGTGGCAGGCCCGGACCCCTGCCCCGCTCCTAAGACACCTGCTCTTTCTCCAGGGCTGACAACTGGCTGGTGGATGATGGAGTCGACAAGGCTCAGAGCCAAGGGCTGTCAGACTTCGGGCAGGTGAGGGGGTGGGGGACGTGCCACAGATCCCTGGGAGAAGGCAGAGGTCCAGGGAGAACAACCAGGACAGGTACCCAACCCTCAGGACCTTGGTTTCCTTGTCCATACAATGCAGCTAGCTTACCCAGGGCTGGGCTCACGGGGCCCCCTGGCCTTCAGAATGCTGATCCCGAGGCCCCCAACTTCCAGCCGCTGAGGGTCAAGTGACACCAGACTCCACTCCCAGGCCTGGGCCTTGGGTGCAGGGAATGGCCCCACCCTGTCCTTGGCTTTGGGTGCTGGGAGTGGCCCTGCCCTGTCCTTGGCTTTGGGTGCTGGGAGTGGCCCTGCCCTGTCCTTGACTTTGGATGGTGGGAGTGGGCCTGCCCTGTTCTTGACTTTGGATGGTGGGAGTGGGCCCGCCCTGTCCTTGACTTTGGATGGTGGGAGTGGGCCCGCCCTGTCCTTGGCCTTGGGTGCTGGGAATGGCCCGGTCCTGTCTCCCACAGCAAGTCGTGAAGGAGATGAACCGCCTGGGCATCATGATCGACCTGGCTCATGTGTCAGTGGCCACCATGAAGGCTGCTCTGAAGCTGTCCAAGGCACCGGTCATCTTCAGCCACTCCTCGTCCTACAGCCTGTGTAGGCATGCCCGGAACGTGCCAGACGATGTGCTCCAGATGGTGGTGAGGGCCCGGGGTGTGGTGGGAGTCCCAGCCTGTCTCCCAGCGGGTCCTCCCCAACTCAGCCTCCCCTCTCCCGGGGCAGAAGGAGACGGGCAGCCTGGTGATGGTGAACTTCTACAACTACTTTGTCTCCTGCTCGGAGGGTGCCAACCTGTCCCAGGTGGCTGGTAGGTGGGGGTGTGGACCTCCCTGGGGCTGCTCAGGGCAGGGCCTGGCTCAGGGCCCAACACCTGCCCTGCCCACCGACAGACCACCTGGACCACGTGAAGAAAGTGGCAGGAGCAGGAGCCGTGGGCTTCGGCGGGGACTATGATGGTGTGACCAGGTAAGGGCTGTGACCTCATCCTGTGATCACAGTCCCATCAGTGGGTCCCCGGGGGCTCGGAGGGAAAGCGTGTCCGGGTGCAGCAGAATCCACTTCTTTGGCCTGGACACAGGCTCCCGGTGGGGCTGGAGGACGTGTCCAAGTACCCAGACCTGATCGCGGAGCTGCTCAGGAGGCAGTGGACAGAGGAAGAGGTCAGGGGTGCACTGGCCAACAACCTGCTGAGAGTCTTCGAGGAAGTGGAGAAGGTGAGGACAGGGTGGCTACCTATGTCCGTCCCGCCCCCTCCYGTCTGCCCCTGCCAGGCAGGCTGCCCAGCCCATCTGTCCCCAGGTGAGCAACCACAGCGAAACTCCAGAGGAGACGCCCATCCCTCTGGACCAGCTGGGCGGCTCCTGTAGGACTCAGTATGGCTACTCAGCAGCCCCCAGGCTCCACCACCAGCCAGGGGCCCTGCTGGCCTTCCTGGTCCCTCTGCTCTTCGGCCTGCAGCCCCTGTGACTCTTTAGGGCTCCTGGGATCCAGGAAGACAGGCTGGTCTAAGAGCGCCAGGCCCGACCTCTCCTCTGCAAGCCGCTGGGATTGCTGGGGGGGAGGGGACAGCCCAGGACAGCACACAGTAGACTCAATAAAAGCAGCAGCCCCTTGAGATCCCAGGTGTGTGTCGTCAGACCCTAGGCCCTGGAGGGTCTGCTCCTGAGCACWGGGAGCACAGGTCTGTGAGAACAGAACCTGAGTCCCGGGGGGTACGGGCCAGAGGGAGCCCAGGAACTCTGAAAAAGGGCTGTGCAAACATTGTTTATGGTCTTTTAAAAATACAGTCCAGCTGGGCACAGCGATACATGCTGTCATCTCAACAACTTGGGAGGCTGAGGCAGGAGGATCACAAGTTCTGGGCCAGCCTCAGGAACTTAGCAAGACCCTGTCTCAAAACAAAAACTAAAAAAGGCTGGGGATGTAGCTAAGTGATTGAGCACACGGAGTTCAACCTCCAGGACCAAACCAACAAACAGAAGACCATCATGGTCCAGGAGGCTCCATGACTACCTCCCACATGGCCTCTGTGTACTCATCTAGTCTGACACTCATGCACACGCCTCTGCTTGTACACAGACATAACTGCCACCCACCGCCAGCAGGTGTGGTTCTGCAGACCTGAGAGGAGGCCCTGGAACTTGCCTTTGTAAATAATTCCCTTGGCTCAGCCTCTTTGGATAGGTGGGACCATGAGGTCTAAGCAGAGGGGCTCCAGGGCCCTGCCAGGTCATCATGCATTTTGAACAGCAGACCCGCAAGGACAGAGGAGGTCTCAGYTGACCTGCCCAGCACTGACCTCTTTATCAGGCAGACAGGCTCAGAGCCTTCCCCTGAGGCCACTGGGGTGTGCCAAGGTGATAAATCTCAGGAGGAACAGCACAGGGAGACCCAGGCAGACCACCGCTGCACCTTCTGGCCAGAGCTGCAGGCCGCTCCCCCTGGACCCATTGGCAGCACCTCTGCCCAGCACCTCAGGCCCCACCCAGCCCACAGGGTGCACRTTCCTTTCCATCCGACTTCCCTGGGAGAAGACCAGGTAGAGGGTGACCAAAGCCCTTGGGGGCTGAGTACAGGGTCATCTGATTGGGTCTGGAGTCCCCCACATGCCACATGCCACAGTGGGGGCAAGCAGGCCCGTGCCTAGGGATGGAGCCACTGGCACAGAATGCAGCTCAGTCGCCTCTTTACCTCTCAGCACATCCAGCGGAGCAGTGGTCTCCCAGGGATCCAGGCCTTCTGAAGGGGCATTTGCTGATTACTGAGGGTCAACTTAATGTTAAAGGGGAAAACAGTCCGGCAGGGGTTCCGTCCAGAGTTCTGCAGAGGTATAACCCTCACTTGGCTAGCTGGGAAGTGCTTTCTCACAAGCAAGGCAGCAAGCCCTGAGCTGAGGCCACACTGCCACCCTTACAACTCAGGCTGAGGCAGGAGGATCCAGGCTTCCGGCCAGTCACAGCAACTCAGCGGGATCCCCCCTCAAGAGAAAACTAAAGGGCTGGGGTTGTGGCTCAGCGTAGAGTGGTTGTCTCACGAGTGTGAGGCACAGGGTTTGATCCTCAGCACCACATAAAAATAAAAAGTAAAAAAGATATTGTGTCCATCTACAACTAGAAAAATATTAAAAAATAAAAAAACAAAGCTAAAGAGGCTAGGGGTGTGGCTCAGTGGCAGAGCCCCACTGGGCTCGTCCTGTGCGGCCACGCTGGCTCCACAGAGCCCTGACCCACACGAGGGTCTCACCACAGCACCCAGAGGGACACACCTGCCTGCCCTCCAGGCACTTCTGATCTGGAGAGCGCTTCCTGCTCACCACCTTACTTTTCGGTCATCCCTCATCCTAATGATGTGGTGTGGGCTGAGACGGGAACAGGGCAGTGGGTGCGGAGGGCTGACCCAGTGTCCAGAGTGAGCCGGTCTCACCTCACTGCAGGAATTCCCCCTGCCTCGGGCCTCCTACTCAGTCATAGGGCCCTACTAGCATCTGGAGGACTATACAGTGTTCTAACCAGTGACCACACCCCAGACAGCCTGCCTTCAGGCAGCCTGACCTCCATATACCCTGTGCTGGTGCAGGTGACCACCACATGCGCTTGCACGCCCTTTGGCTGCAGGGCTAGATGGTAGTGAAGCTGGGCGGGGCTCCACATAGGGACCCTGACTCCAGGGCGCCCCCTTGCAGCCAACCCCTGCTTTTGGAGGTTCATCTCTAGCCAGCACAAGCCACGGCCGCCTGGCTGCACACTGTCTCTGTGCCCTTTCAATAGAGCACTTCCTTTCTTGTTATAATCTGACTCACCTTCAAGCTCTTTTCTGTGACGGGGTCAAGAAGCTGAAAAGGTCTGCGTGGAGACCTCCTTAAACCCCTGCCTGGTGGCACACYGTCTTCTGTAACAGGAGCACCCACCAGGGGTGGGCAAGTCCTGGGCACAGGCTGCAGAGGTGGCTGGGGTGCAGGCGGGTTTCTTGGCTGTGCCTCGCAGTGTGGCACCTGCCAGCTCTCTCCTTGAAGGACCTGCATCTGGCTGTCCCAAGCTCCTGCCAGGAYAAGACGGAGGCCACGGGAGATGTGGCTGGAAGCCATGGGGCTTCTGGGGCAGGGGCAGGTCCCCTCTCCTCTGCAGGCACAGTGCAGGGTGGGAAGGCTCCCACAATGGAATGCAGATGAAGGGATTTACCAGAAAGGTGACCGCCACCCTGAGAGGGCACGGGGAATGAGGCTGGCCTGGCGTGCAGACCAGAGGGGAACGCCCTCTGCTGGCAAGGGGTGTGGCTCCACTCCCCACTGAGAGGTGACCSTGAGGGCCAGGCTCGCACTGCAAGATGACACAAACAAGAACTGGACACAGAGGGGCCTGTGTCTGCTCTAGCAGCAAGGTGCCTCCTGGCAGCATGCTGAAGGCTTCAGGTAGTGACAGGAACTGGCTTCAGACCAAAGCAAAGCTCAAAGCAGATTACAGGCATCAATTTATTTACTTACAACAGCATTTTAGGAAAAAGGCAAACACCCACCCTCCTCTGGTGAACCAGCCCCAGGACCCCTGCAGGCCAGTGCTACCCAGACCTCTGCACCGCAGTGCACCTGCGGCGGGGCTCCGGGGGCTCCCTGAGGCTGTTCCCCAGGAGCCATCAGCTCTCCTCTCCACACCCAGCATGCAGGTCAATTTCCAGAGTCCCAGTGGGACCACAACCAGACAGTGCCTCGACCAACCCCTTCCCCCAGCACCACCCACTGTACGGATACCAGGGCTCCACGTCCAGAACAGAGCCCAGGGCAGTGTGCTCTGGTCAGAGCTGCCACATCTCTGAACTTGAACATGGGTCTTTTGGGTGGGCAACACTGGTCCCCCACACCCATGCTGAGAAAACTAGGCCCCGGCTTTCTACTTTGGCAAAAAACCCCAAAAAACAAACAAACAAAAAAACCCAAACCCTAAGAACTTTGATGGCATTAAGTAAACTTTAGGAAACAGAAAAAGCAAGACAGCAGCTGGTGCCCAGCCCTCGCGGCCTCCCCGCACGTCTCCTGTGGCTCCTGCAGCAGCCCTCCAAGAGCCTGCAGTGGCCCTCAAGGCCACTGTCCCAGCTCCCTTCCACAGCCACTCTGGCATCCAAGCTGAGGAGGCAAGTGGGGCAGTGGCCAGGGGAGTGCCCGCTAATTTACAGTGAAAGACAAAACTGTGGCACCCACTGAGGAGTGGGAGGCACTGGCAAAGGCCCTAGGAAAGAGGTCATGTGGCTGGAGGAGCCTGGAGTTCTGGTGGGCGCTGTGGGAGACAGAGCTCAGACCCAGTGGCCCAAGGTACCTCCAGAGGCAGCTGCCCAGCAAGGATGAGAACCCCAGGTAGGCACACCTGGACCTGGACCTGGATGACTGTTCTGTCCGGGGGACTGGGCACCTCTAAGAACCGAGGGAGGCGAGGGCAGGAGGCCCCAGCAGGGCTCAGCCAGCTGTAGTAAGGCCAAGACCCCAGCCCTGAACCACAGAAGAAGGTCATCATCTGTAAATGCCCAGCAGAGTGTCAGCGGTGCTGGACACAGGACAACAGGCACCTTCTTGTGGCAGGTTGTCTGTCAAGGGGGAGGCCTCCAGGAGCTGCCTGGCACAGGGGTGGCCCCAATCCCCACTGGCTGACAGTAGGCAGCAGGGATGCAGCCCCTGGAGCGTGAGGGCCCCACAGCACTGGGCTCAAGTCCACACACATCCTTTGGCCAGTCCCATCAACTTTGCACAGTGAAGGGCCGAGGGCAGCATGCCAGGCTCCAGGGTCCGCCCAGAGTCACAAAGCTACCCACACCAGTGTGCATAAACTCAACACCAGGATGCAGACCCACTGTCCGACCTAAGAGGAACAGGATCAGTTCTGAGCCCACCCTGGTCCGGCAGGCAAGAGGAGCTGAGAGGCCATGGCTGCCGGTGGCAGCTCTGCAGGATCAAAAGGTGAGGGACAGTGGGGAGGAAGGACAGGAGCCTCCAGCACATCACAGAGCAGGGGAGCCAGTGCATGTAGAGGCGCAGTTAATTCCTCAAGGCAGCCAACCTGGGAAACCAACAGAGGGTCATGTGAGACAAGAAAGGCAAGGGCCAGGGGAACACTGTGTCCACATGTCAGACGCCTGCTCAGCCAGATGCCCCCACCCCRAGCTCATGATCCTTTCCTCAGTTTTAGCTTCCTAAGGTCATCCTGAGACAACAGGAGTAAAAACACCAGAAAACAGCCAAGTACCACCAGCTACACTTAGGAAAAGCAGATTTCCTTTCCCAGCCTAGTCCTAGGGATTGAACCCCAGGTGCTCTACCGTTGAACTASATCTCCAGCCCTCTTGATTTTGAGAGACAGGGTCTCAAAGAGGCTGGTCTCAAATTTGTGATTCTCCTGATTGAGCCTCCCAAGTAGCTTTGATTACAGGTGTGTACAACTGCATTCAGCCAAGATTCCCCTTTCTGAAGTGAGCTGTGTACACACAAACCTGTGATGCCACATCAGACACCAACTGCCTTTTATGCAGGGCTGACCACAGGCAGATGAAGAGGAGACATGTTTGAGAGCCCAGATAGGAGTGTTCCTTGAGCTGAAGATCCACCACCCACACTAACATTCTGACTGCAGGGAGGAGGACAGACCCTTCTGTGCCCAGCCTCAGCCCAAACTGCCTTTAGTGTCTCCAACTTGTATCTGCCTTCACAGCACAGAGCACAGGCGGACGGCTGCTCCAGGGCACCACCCTACCTCCGGGACAGCTGGTCCTCCTGGCTGCGAACAGAGCTCTCCCCCACCGCGGAGGCACCCTCAGGCAGCTGGCTGAGCTGGTCCAGCACCTCTAGGCCGTTCTCCTCAGCAATCTGCACAATGAGGCTGTCCACCTGCTCCTGAGGTGTGGTGAGTGTGGTGGCTGAGCTCATGGAGTCCTCCATCACCTGGGGGCGGAGCACATTCTGGTCAGGCRGGGAAAGGCTACAGCAGCCTTCCACAGCCCCACAGGGCCCTCCTCATTTTTCATTCTCCACCCACATGCGCCTTCTCAGGCCAACATTTTCAGGATGCTCTCTGCTCCCTCACCCCTTCCTACCACTCCTTTATTTTGTTCCCCTACTGTGCACATGAGTGCTGAGGGCACTATCTACAACTCTGTGTGCTCATCTATCACCCTCCTGGTCCTCCCTACATTCCCTCTCGGGGTCCTGGCAGGGACCACCTCAAAGGACTCTCACGAGACACAGTGGCCTGTAATCCCAGTGACTCGGGAAGCTGAGACAGGAGGATCATGAGTTCAAAGCCAGCCTCAGCAATAGTGAGGCGCTAGGCAACTCACTTTTATTTAGAGACCTTGTCTCTAAATAGAATGCAGAATAGGGATGCGATGCGGCTCAGGAGTCGAGTGCCCCCGAGTTCAATCCCCAGTACCAAAAAAAAAAAAAGACTCTCGGCGACAAGGGACTGAGCACCCTCCAGCCCTCCCACAGCACTACATACCGATGTGTGCACATCCAGATTCTGCACCTGCTGCTCAAACCTGTCCATCACGGCAGAGACCTTCTGCAGGTCCATGGTGCTCAGGGCCTTATCCAGTGCTTTGGTTACCTGTGCCATGTTCTTCGTCACCTGGGACGAGAGAGGGTTGGGGAAGGGAACAGGATTAAGGTGAGCAAGGGTTTTCCTCCAAGAACATGTCCTCTGAGCTCCGATGAGAGCCCAGGTCCTTAGCAAATGCTGTCAACTGAACGCACAAGCACATGGCCACTTACGGGACAAGGAGGACATGGTGGAGCTGCAAGCCTACACCTCTTCCAGAGGGGCCCTGCTGTGAAACTAAGGGGTCTAGTGAGAGTCCCAAGATCAGCTGGGACAAGTCTGGCCACAAGGCTCTGCGTCTGGTGCTGTCAGAGGACCCCAGCCCACTTTCCTGTGTCCAGCCAGYACTCCCCATGCCTCAGCCTTTGCTGACCCAGCTTCCCTACACTCTGGGCTGCCCCAGACCAGCCACCAGATCCTGTTCCTGCTTTAGTCAGCACAAGCGCAACCAGGACCCTAGCACTCACCCCCTTCATGGTCACGGCCATCTGCACCTTGGAGGTTACTGCATCCACACGGGACGCCATGCGGAGCCAGTTCACACCTTCATTCTTCTTGCGGATGGCATTCTCAGCATAGACTCGGGCACACTCCACATTCTTCTGCTGAAGGGCCTGATTCAAGGGGAAAAGTTTATAGGGGAAATTGGTAGTTTGTCTGCACACTGGCTAGGAGGAGCCTGGTGACACCCTCTCCAGGGGGTCGTTTGCTAACATGGAGTGGGGAGGCCCTTCAGTCCCAGGTACACTCATCAACAGCGTTTGTGGGGGCCAGGGTGTGGCTCAGTGGTGGAGCCCTTGCCTTGAATGCAAAGGCCCTGGGTCCCATCCTTAGTGCATTCCCCCCAACCCCTGCATCTGTGAGCTTTGTATAACTGTGATGTCTAAGCCTCAAGCCCACTTAGGAGCATGGGTTGAGCCCAAGGGTGGATGATGCAGTAGGCCCTCCAGAGTGGTTGGCCTGCTGCAGCTCACCCCAGCCACTGCTGCACAGAAGCAGAGGAGAGAGGCAGAGGCACTGAGTCCAAAGTAGATGCCACTGCTGCAGGAATGGCACAGGTCACTATCACATAGACTGTGGCCAGCTGCCTGGGAAGCCAAAATCAACATCCCTGAAGCCACTTCCACCAAGGAGGCAAGGTTTTCTCGTTGTTTTGGTGCTGGGAGTTGAGCCCAAGGGTGCTCTACTGCTGAGCTCCATTCCTGCCTTTTACTTTCATTGTGATATGTGATCTCCCTAAGTTGACCAGGCTGGCCTCGAATTTGCAATCCTCTTACCTCGGCTTGCCACAGAGCTGGGATTATGGGTGTGCATCAGTGCACCTGGCTTTTTTTGAATTTTTTTTTTTAAACAGTGCTGGGGATTGAACCAATGGCTTCCTGCATGCTAGGCAAGTGCTCTACCACTGAGCTATATCCCCAGACAAGGAAGTAATGTAAGTAAAGTTTCAATGGAAGTTCCACCAAAAGCAAGGGTCCCCAACATTCTTTCTGCCCTGCCTTCTCAGGGTTCTCCCAGGAGAGGCCCCCAGAGAGTCTCYAGCCCTACCACACCCCATGGAGGCCCACTGTACCCTTGCCCAAAACCTGATGCCCTGGACACCAGCTCTGCAGAAAAGAATGATGAGATCATACAGGGACAGGTAGAGCCCACTTCCTGTATTTAGGGCAAAGCAACTTCAGARTATCAGAGGAGTGACAGGATGGACATTCAAAGAGAACCAGCAGAGGCTATGCACTCATCTTCCCATGTGCACACCCCACGGGTCAGGAAGGTAGAGTCAGGAACTGCCCCTTCTCCCAAGACTGCTGGTCTCAGATATGGAAGTGAATATGGCAGGGATCAGAAGCCACAGTGCGGTTCTAGAAGACAGCATCAGAATAGAACAGAAAAGCATGGAGAAGGCAGAACCAGAAGCTGGACATGTCGCACACCTTCTTCACTTTGGCCTGCTCCGCCTTGGAGTCCTTCTCTGCCTTCTTGGCTAGCTTCTCCAGCTGCTTCGCTGTGAACTGAGGAGAAACCAAGACATTCTGAGCTGAACGCCTGAGGTCCACCCTCCAAGTCCCGCTCCCCAATCCCTCCACCTCTGCCACCCTGGACTGGCCGCAAGTTGAGAAGGCAGAAAGCCCACCATCATGGGGTTGAGACTGCAATAGCTTGAGGAAGGAGATGCCCTCTGACAGGTTTTCTAAAACATTTGTCTTCTCCCCAAACATCCTAATCCAAGCCCTTCCCCAGAATGTAAGGCTGACGCCAATTCCTGCTTATGTAAGGCTTCCAACTTGTTTCAGGACACCCCCAAATAGTAACACATAATTCTAGATAAAAATACTAAAGATGCCAGGTGCAGTGGCGCATGCCTGTAATCCCCATGGCTCAGGAGGCTGAGGCAGGAGGTACTGAAGTTCAAGGATAGCCTCAGCAATGTAGTAAGGCCCTAAGCCACTTAGCGTGGCCCTGTCTCAATACAAAAAATAAAAAGGGCTGGGGATGTAGCTCAATGACAAAGTACCCCTGGTACCAACCCAACTAACCCTGGTACCAACCCATCCAACCAATAAAACCCTCAAAACCCATGGGCTGGGGATGTAGCTCAGTTGGTAGTGCTTGCCTCGCATGCCCAAAGCCCTGGGTTCAATCACCAGCACCACAGAACAACAACAACAAAACCTCTCAAAACCTGAAAATATAATTTCCACAGAATACTTGTGCAGACAGATCCCAGAAACCTGATTGTCCTGCTACCACCACTACCAGGATGCGTGTCCCCAGGACCTCTGCAGCTGCCTGGTGCCAAAACCAGTCCTAGCCACTGCCACCACTGCTAGGGGCCTGGCTTACTGGTCTTCCATGCAACTGATCCCCTGAGGGCCTGTGCCCCCAGCAGCAGTACTTCACAAAGACTTGGTGTGAGGTGAGGCCACTCGAGAGCTCCATGTGGTAGTCTGTGGACTCCATTCCTGCCCAACCTCAGTCCAGTGAGAAAAAAGATACTGTTAACCTTAATGATGAAGTGTGGGTCCTTTAAAGGAAAAGTGAGGAACGAGCCTGGGGTTATCAGAAAGCTGAAAACACCACCCCAACACAAGGGGCACCATCCACAGTTCTCTGATAGTGACTTTCAAGCATTTCAGGCCACAGCTTAATTGCTTAGCAGGACCATCAAGGCATAACCATAACACCAAGCTTGTTTCTTTTTTTTTTTTTTGAGAGAGAGAGAGAGAGAGAGAGAGAGAGAGAGAGAGAGAGAGAGAAGGGAAAGAATTTTAATATTTATTTATTTTTTTTTAGTTCTTGGTGGACACAACGTCTTTGTTTGTACGTGGTGCTGAGGATCGAACCCGGGCCGCACGCATGCCAGGTGAGCACACTACCGCTTGAGCCACATCCCCAGCCCCCAAGCTTGTTTCTTGAGATATAATACACTCAGTCTTTCATGGATGAGCTAGAGTGATCTACTGCCAGAAAAGAGGAATCAATTAATATTGCACAGAGCCAGCTCAACAACTTGTCTTTGGTCAGCAGTCTGAGCAGTTGTCCCAACTCTGTTTCTAGGATTCTGAGTGTGACTTGTACCATCTGTCCCCATTTGCTCATCGCCAGGACAGGGCTGGGGCAAATGGTCATTTAATACATACCTTCAACTGGAACAGGGTATCTGCAAAGAAAGAGAACAAGGTTTGAGGACTGCATGTTCATGAAACATGACAAGCAGCAAGTCCAACAAACAGATGGGCTCACTGAGACCCCTGCAGACACTAGGAGCTTGCACAGAACCCAGACCTGACAGCACTGGCTAGGGCCTGAGCACGAGTCAGAAGATACACTGGTGGCCAGCTCCAGCCCCTTGCTAGCCGCAGGGCTGTAATCAACACAGACCCTCCCTTAGCCAGTGTCCTTTTTGAGAATGTGGGGTGGGTATGAGGACAGATCATGGAACGCAGGCAGCTCCTGGTCGTGGTGAAAACTTGAGATGGTGGTTTACAATTAATGCAACTTCACAAAAGACCCTTGGGATTCTTTCCCAACCTAATAATGTTCAGTACTTAACAGTCCATTTTGTATGTACTCAATCGTCCCAAAGGTAAATGGATCAAAATAGCCAAGTGATAACTGACTCCATGGCAGCTGCCATTTCTAAGCCATTGCTTCAGGTTACCTTGTTACCAGGTTACCTTGCCCGCCCACCCTGCAGACGGAGTGTCTGAACAAATCCACTGTTGCCCTAATTCACTGCCTGTTCACTACAACTCAAGGGCCAGGCAGATTCTGATTGATATAAATTTATTAAATTTCTAAATCCGGAGAGTTCAACCCCAGCACAGAAAGAGGGTTCTAGAGGGTTTACCTTAACTCAGAAGGAGAAACCTGAGTATTGGTTCCAAAAGGGTTTGCCCCTCCAGCCCAGAATGTGTGTCCCAAAGGATTCATYCTCTCCTGGCCTAGCATGAAAGTCCTGAGTGCTGGCTTCTGAAGGGTTCATCACCCCCCAGCCTTGAATGAAGATCCCAAGAACTGACTCCTGAAAGGTCACCCCCCTCAGCCCTGAATAAGGGTACATTCCACAGATGCAATCAAGGATCCCCTTTGAGTTCTGGGCACCTAGCAATCTATCTTTTCTCAGTACAGGGTCTGGTCGTGTGTGTGTGTGTGTGTGTGTGTGTGTGTATACATATATGTGTGTGTATGTATGTGTATATATATATATATATATTAGTACTGGGATTGAACCCAGGGGTGCTTAACCATTCAGCCACATCTCCAGTCCCATTTTAAATTTTATTGAGACAGGGTCTCGCTGAATTGCTAAGTGCCTCGCTAATCTGTTATCTGGCTTTGAATTCTTGACCCTCCTGCCTCAGCCTCCTGAGTAGTTGGGATTACAGGCATGTGCCACTGCGCCTGGCCAGGGCCTGGTCAACGCCAAAGCTGGCTTTGACTCTGGAAAACAAAGCTACCCTGATACATGGGCAAGCAAATCAGTGCCATGATGCCCAGTCCATCCCACTTGGCAAAATCCCCTCCCTTCCAGCCTCAGGGTCCTTATCCAGACTGCATGAACAAGACCTTGCAGAACAAACAGCTGGAGAAACTGGCTTAAGAAGGTTTCCTCCCCTTCAACAGATGAATGGATAAAGAAAATGTGGTACATATACACAATGGAAAATGAAAGAATGGCACTTGCAGATAAATGGATGGAAYTGGAGAATGTAATACTAAGTAAAATAAATCAATCACCCAAAAAACAAAAGCCAAATGTTTTCTCTGATAAGCAGATGCTGATCCATAATGGGGCAAGGGGATAGGGAAGAATGAAGGAATTTTGATTTCTGTAGAGAAGAGTGAGGGGAGAGGTGGTACTGTGGGGATCGGAAGGATGGTAGAATGAGACAGACTTTATTACTCTAAATAAATGTATGTTTACACTACTGAAGTGACTCTGCACCATGTACAGAGGAATGAGAAGTTGTTCTCCATTTGTGTACAATGTGTCAAAATGCATTCTACTGTAAAATAAATTAATACATAATTTTTCAACAACAAAACATGTTTCCTCAAAAGAACCAGGAGAGCTTTTTCTTCAGGAGGGGGGCAGTTAGGTTAGGTGTTACCTCTCATCACTCCACGGTGGTCTATAAAGAATTCCAACACATTTTCTTCATGACAATGACATAGTTATATACTTTCTACCCAAGCATTTTGAAAAAAAAAAGTTTTAAAGTTTTAAATCACACTATCCCATAAATGTTTCTGCAAATGGAGGCAGCTTAATTTTGCCATTGATTCTTCTTGTTCTTTGGAATCCCTGGGCCCAGAGCACTCCAAAGTGAAGGCGGGCCAGGGAGTCAGACTGCCGGGGTCGGCGGTTCCCTTCCAACCTGTTTCCCCCCCTGCAGAATGGGGCGTATGGCTCCAGTTTCAAAACAGCTGCTGTTGAGGTCTGGGGCTTACCCCTGTGCCCGGCCCTCAGAGCTCTCTTCCTATTTCTCTGAGTGGGGTTCTGGGGTCACGGAGCGCCACTGCACCTTTCCTGGTACCCTCTGGCCAGGCATCCCAGGGCCCCAAAGGCAAAAGTTATGCCAAGTTTAGAGGAAAGGGGGCCTGGACTCCCCTGGGGATGCGAGGTCAAGACTTGGGGGGGGGTGTCTCCTGGTCAGCATGTGACCAGGGGTCGGGCCCAGGAGACGGTCTCCTGGTCGGGATGCGGGGTCGGGCCGGGGGCGGCGTCGGTGGGGATGTGGGGTCGGGGCCCAGGAGACGGTCTCTCGGGTTGGGATGTGAGGTCGGGTCTCCCGGGCCCAGAGTGGGGTGGGGACCCGGGGAACAAACCCCAGGTCGGGGATCCGGAGTCCGCCGCCGCCCCTTACCGTCCATGGCCAGTCCGACAGCGGTAGCCCTGGGCCCGGCGCAGGCGACTCCACCCCACCTCTCTGCTACGCCGGGCGGGGACTTCCGGGTCGCGGCGCTTCCGGTCGTCAGGCGCTCTCGCGAGAGGACGAGATCGCGCGAGGCGCGCGGTGGCCGTGGTGACCGGCGCCGCCGCGGCTCGCGGAGGGGCTTTGTGAGACGCTCTGGGCGCGCAGCCGCGGAGGCGCGGGGACCCCGGCCCGCGCCGGCGGGGCGGCGGGCTCACCTATGGGACTTTCGAAAAGCAAGCCCAAACCCGGGAAAGGTAAAGGGCGCCCGCCGCTGCTCGGGCCGCCCGGAGCCCGCGCCCCGGCCCGGCTGGCGGGCTGACGGCGGTGCGTGTGTTTCAGGTGAGGAGCGAAGGAAGGGCTCCTCCTATTCGAGTTCGAGATCTAAGGAGAGGCTGTCGGAGAAGCACTCCCTGGAGGCCGAGAAGCTCGCGGACAGCCACTTCCTGAGGAAGGGCTCGGCCAAGCACGGGCGGCCTTCGGCTTCGTCGGAAGGTAGGAGGCCCCCGAGGTCCCGTTCGCCACGGGACGGGTCCGGTTTCCAGACCTGGCCGTGGGGGCGGGGGCAATATCCAGGTCTTCGTGGACAGGTAAGTCCCTCAGAGTTGAGGACGTGGGGAGAAGCCACCAGGTGACATCCGGCACCTCGGTGGGAGTCTGGCATGGAACCTGGGGCACCGCCCGGCGGGAGTGCACTGTGAGCAGTCAGCAGACGTGTCCCCTTCGAGCAGCTTAATGTGGAGTGGAGGGACTGAGGCCACAACTGCCCGAAGAAGCCTGAGCACGGTCTTCCCTCCACTTGGTCTTGCGGACCGTGGAGGGGGACTGTTAAATATTTAAAACGAGGGAAGTGTGATGGGACTTTGCCTTGGAAAAGTCTGTCTGGCTCCAGCACGGAGGCTAGTTGAGGGAAGCACAGAGCCAAGGGAGATCTGTCCTGGGTCCATTGATGTAATCTGCTGGGAACCAGTGAGGCTGTGGCACCAGGGATTCCAGAAGGACCCAGGAGTTGGAAACAACAGAACCTGCTATCTGATGAGATGGGGTTCATGGGTCAGATGAGAAAGTATAAGAAATGGCACACTGGCTGGGCAGGATGTAGGTCATCAAGGGCCACAAGCAGGAGGCAGGGTGAAGTTCAGGCACTGGGCTTGGGATACAGGCTGGACGTGAAATTCAGGAACTCCTCACTTGAAGGTAGGAGGCTGAGAAGGGCCAGAGTCCTAGGGTTGCCCTTGTCTCTCAGGGTGCCTTTAGCCACAATTACAAAAAAGCCACCAAATTCAACTGAGGTCATCAACTCACAAATGATGGAAGAGTCAGATATCACCCTTCTACTGAGCATTCAGAATGGTCTGCTCATCAGCTCACCATTGACTAAGTCCTGCCAAGGACTTGGCATGTTATACTCTGCTGCCCTCATATCAAGGATGTCTTTTGCCATAGTCCCCAGAGAGCCAGAAGGCCCCTGGTTTTCCTCACTGTCTATTAGCAAGGAGACCTTTCCCTTCAGCTGTTTTGCCTGTCTAGGATGGGCTCGCTTTGCAAATTCACCAGAGACTGGAGGAGCCATGAGGCACTGGAGTGGGCAAGACCCCTGCCAGCAAGGAACTGCCTGCTGGAAAGGCACCAGGCAGCAGCTGTCTCACAGCACCTTTTCGGAGGCAGGGACATGAAGAGAAAACAGCAGGTCAAGGAGCAAGAGTGAAGATGAATTTCAAGACAGGGGAGAGTGTGGTTCCTCCACATGGTAGAACGGGCTCTACAGTAACAAGGGAGCACCACTGATGTGCTGCCCTGTGGAACAACCCCAGAACATGATGCCACATGAAAGAAGCCAAGTGCACAGAGCACTACAGGATGATGCTCTATATCCGAATGTCCAAAAGCCGATACATAGAGAGGCGCTCAGTGACCTTCTGGTGCCAAGTGCAGGAGTGGGAATTGGCCACACTCAGCACAAAAGGACTTCTTGGGATGATGGACACATTCTTACAACTGAATTGGGCCAGTGCACCAATGGGCTACTGTCTCTCCCTCTGGAGATGGCTTGTAGTTTCCCTGGGTTGTGTCTTCCTTGCTTAGTCCAAAGGCAGCTCTCGCACACGGTGCGCGCGCGCTCTCTCTCTCTCTCTCTCTAATATTTTTAGTTGTTTATGGAACTTTATTTACTTCTGGTGCTGAGAATTGAACCCAGTGCCTCACACATACTAGGCAAGTACTTTACTACTGAGCCACAGCCCCAGTTCCCGGCAGCTCTCTTTTGAGATTGCCATTCCCCACCCTGTTCTCCCTTGAATGTGTATCTACTTTCCTAAATAGACCTCTGTCTATGCCTTTAAAAAAAAAATGGGGGCTGGGGATATAGCTCAGTTGAGAGTGCTTGCCTAGCATGCACAAAGCCCTGAGTTCAATCCCCAGCACCACCAAAAAGAAAAAGAAAAAGGAATTAGGCTGGGCATGGTGGTGCCTGCCTGTAATCTCAGCTACTCAGAAGGCTAAGTCAGGAAGATGGCAAGGTCTACACTAGCCTTCAGCAACTGGACAAGACCTGTCTCAAATTACAAAGGGCTGGGGGTGTAGTTCAGTGGTAGAGCACCCCTGGGTTCAATCTCCAGTACCAAAAGAAAAAACTGAATTTGGCTGGGTATGGTGGTGTACATGTGAGTTCCCAGCTACTCAGGAGGATTGCGTGAGCCTAGGAGTTTAAGGCCAACCTGGGCAACTTAATGAGATACTGTCTTAAAATAAAACAAAAGGGTCTAGGGATATAGGTTACTAGTAGAGCAGCCAGTTCAATCCCCAGTACTATACACACACACAAAAGGAAAAAAAACAAAAAGGATGATGGTGTGCTCAGTTGTAGAGCGCCCCTGGGTTGAATCCTGGCATGTATGAGGCCATGGGCTCCATCCTGGCACCAAAAACAACAACCCAGTCTCCAAAGGTCACAGCTGTATGATGGGTTCCATTTGTGTAAGATTCACCAAATGACAAAGATCATAGAGATGGTGAACAGACTAGTGGTGGGATCTCTGGTGGGAACCAGTCCTGTGTCCCGATGAAGGTGGGGTCACGTGACAGGGCGTGTATCTGTATACCTTGGATCAATGCCAGTGTTCATATTAACTCAGATAAAGGTGTTATCATTGGGGGAAACTGGGTGAAGAGTATACAGTAACTTTCTGTTCTACTTTTGCAACTTTCTATGAATGTATAAATATTATAAAAATAAAAACTTTAAAAATATATGTCAAAAGTTGTTATTAAAAATGGAGTTCCAGAATTTTTTGCCTTTTTCTCCAAATCAGACTAAGTAAATGGCAAGTATGGATGACTTCAGGGTCTTTTTTTTAATGTCTTCCAGTTTTGGCCACTATTATGAGAAGAACATGTGAGACTGCAGCAGTAAATTCCAAATATTTGTTGTAATTTGAAAAGAAAGAGATGCTAAACATCTCTAAATCCTGATTCATCTTGTGACATAGACTTACTGGACAGAAGCAAAGGTCCAATGTTGCAGTCAACCCTTTGATGTGGTAAAGAAGCATAAACAAGATATCAAGGGGTTGATTTCATATCTGGAAAAAAAAATATGTAGTTCCAGTACAAAGAGAGCGAGCAGATCAATGAAATGGAAAACATGAAAAGCTGTGTGAGTGTGTGTGTGTGTGTGTGTGTGTGTGTGTGTGTGTAATGAGAGTACAATAAAACTGGCACCAAAAATAGATGGGAATTACATTAGCCAAATATATCATTATATTGTGTCCAAGTACGAATACATAAAAATGAAACTCACTATTATGTATGATTATAACACACCAATAAAAGTATGCAAAAAAACTAAATAACTTTAATGCTTGGTATCAAGGGAAAAAAAACAAGTGGAAAATGGAAGAACTGTATAATAAATGATGCTAGGAAAAATGTCTAACACGGTAAGGAAAACATAAGTTAGACTGTAGCCTTTTGCCATATGCAGATAGTTTCCAGATGGTCAAGAGTGATTAGAATGAAATGATGTAAATATTAATCTGATTTTTCTAAACCTCAAAGAAGGATGTCACAAAGAAATATTCAAGGTGCTAGGTGCAGTGGCTTTGCCTTGTAATCCCAGCGACTGGGAAGACTGAGGCAGAATGATCACAAGTTTGATTCCTGCTTGGGTAACTTAGTGAGACCATCAGGAATTTAGTGAGATTTCATATCAAAACAATAAATAAATAAATAAATGGGTTGGGGATGTAGCTCAGTGGTAAAGAACCCCTGGGTTCAACCCCTGATACCAAAAGAAAAGAAGAAAAAGAAATATTGAATGTCTGCCAGGGATGGTTGAGCAGGCTGTAATCCCAGCTCCTTGGGAAGCTCAACAGAAGGATTGTGAGTTCAAGCCAGCCTTAACAAGGCCAGGTCTCCAAAACAGGCTAGGATGTGAGTGCAAGAGAATGATACACCTGTACATCTGCAGAATGGCTTTCTATAGCAGACCAGTGCGAGAGACCTGCCTGGCATGCATGAGGTCCTGGGTTCAATTTCCAGTGCTACAAAATAAATAATAAAAGCCATGTTGATATCACTAACCACTCATTCTCCCCTGTAACTGGGCTCATGCAGCATTAAGGGGATTGAGGGAGCAAAGTAAGCCCCAGAAGAGCGTGATCAGCATTTGACTGTATTGTCTGTGCACCTCATTGGGCTTCCACATGCCCCAGCCTGGGAGCCTGGAGCCAGTGGTGGAGGGAGGAGGCTGGGAGCTCCTTGGCTTTCATACCTTGTAACAAGACAAACTCAGTCACCTTTAGGAGCATGCAAACTGCAGTGCCTGAAACAGCCTTTTCTAGCAATTCTGAGGGGTAGAGATCTGTACAGAAGTTTTTCCAGAGTTATAACCCTCTGGATGCTGGGCATCTGGGGCAGAACTGCCTTTATATCCTCTCCTTCCTGTGCTGTTGCCCTGAAGCCACCCTACAGCTGTTTCCCCAGGGCACAGGAAATCTAGAAAGTCTCCTGTTTCTCCCTTGAAGGAAAGGACCCTTGTGGCTGAATTGTGAATCCATGTGAGCTTTGGAACTTCCGTGCACAGTCTCTCCTGCTAACCCCAAGCCCAATTCCTTTATTCTGGCCCCAGACAGGCCTTGTCTGCATTGTGGAATTTCCCCACACAGCCACTAAATGCCTGGATGTTTTCTTCCCTCTAGAGAAACCTGATGTAAAGCAAAAGTCGAACAAGAAGAAATTTGTCATTCCGCAGATCATCATCACTCGGGCCTCAAATGAGACTCTAATCAGCTACTGTTCCACTGGAAATGAAGAGCAGAGAACCATTCGGGAACAGGCTGATTGGGGTCCCTACCACCGACACAGGAACCCCAGTACAGTAGCTGCTTATGATCTGCATACTAAAGAATAAACAAGCGCCCCTGAATTGTCATGACTCACTGTGCTGAGTTTCAGCCACACAGGCAGAAGGGCCATCCTGCCCCTTTGGAGCCAAGGTGCCCTCAGTCCACTAGGTTCTGCCTCAGTGACCACCTTGGTCTTACCTTCCCTAGGGCCGCTGGCAGCTTATGGAGTGACAGTGACAGGTTCAGAGAGTGAAATTTGTGGTGCTAAATGAATAAACTAGCATTTCCGTGTTGGAAGTGGCTGGCTGTGATGAATGATGGACAGCAGGCGGCACCTGGGGCTCTGACTTAGGTGGGCAGTTAGGATCCTTTCCATTTACTTCTGAGGAGTAAGTACTTAGAAGTTACAGTGAGTGGCCTGTCCCCCAAATTGGAGAAAAGGCCAGAGGCTGAGTATAAACTTTTAAGTGGTAATGTTGTAGAACAGAGAGGTTCAGAGCCGCCTCGGGCTGCAGGCCTCTGTGCTGCCCAAGGCCAGAATAGTGCAGGAAGTGCCCTGGGATGGGTGGGCAGGGCACATGGACCTTGGAAGTGACCTTGTTAATGCTGTCCTGTCTTCCTGGCCCCCGGTAATGAAGGGCCACTTTGGGATGCAGTTATGATGTCACTGAGAACTCAACTGAGTCCACCCTCAGCACCGTCTTCAGGTCAGGTTGTGGCCTGACTGAGTGCCCTGGCCTGTCTGATCTTATGTATGTAGTAACAATGTGTTAGTTTTGTTAGTTTCTAGATTGGCTGGACTCAGAGGGCAAACCAGAAATAGGGGACAGTGGCATGGCCACAGTCTTCTCAGGTATTGAGGTGCCTGTCACACATATCGACATATTGTTCTTTTTTTTTTTTTTTTCTATTTTGAATTAGGGTCTCACTAATTTACTGAGGCTGGTCTCAAACTTTAAATTCTCTTGCCTCAGCCTCCTGAGTTGCTGGAATTCTGTAATTCCGGCATAAGCCACCAAGCCTGGCTCCAACAGCTTCAAATATATACATACATACGTACATGTAAATCCATCTAGTATAGACACAAGTCCTCTCTAGTACATGTATACATACTACATAAACACAGAACCCTCTAGGACTGGGCTAGAGTTGGCAAGGCAGTCGCCCTGGGCTTGCCCGCATTCACTGCGGAGCTCTGCTCTTCTTAAGAGAAGGGAAGCAGCTGAGGGTGGTGCACCTGCAGGGAATGCCCAGCTGGATGCCATCTCAAGGGGCCCTCCCACCTGCCGCCTTCTGCTGGTGCACCAGCTGGTGGGGTCTCCATCCAACCCCAGGTGCTGAGCTCTGGATGCGCTCCGAGGGGGTGGGAGGGGGAACCTCCCCAGGTGGGCGTGTCTAGGTCCTGGCCAGGTCCCCTGGGTAACCGTGGCAGGGGGCGGGGCAGCACGACCCGGAAGTAGATCGCGCGCCTGCGCGCTCGGGCTGTGGCGCCGGCTCTCGCCATGGCGGAGCCGGACCCCGAGTCGGAGCAGATCCGTCTGAAGTGTATCCGTAAGGAAGGCTTCTTCACGGTGCCTGCGGAACACAGGGTGCGACGGGGGGCCCCTCGGGGACGCGGCCTTCCTCGCCAGCAGGGTCGCGCTGGAGCGCCGACGTCGCAGTGCGGCACGCGCGGGAACGACGGCCCCGGGGACGGGGACGGGTCCTCCTGGCAGCCTCGCGGTGTCTGGATGGGGACGGGACCCCGCTGGCGGCCTCCCGGGGAGGGGACGGGTCCTCCTGGCAGCCTCGCGGTGTCTGGATGGGGACGGGACCCCGCTGGCGGCCTCCCGGGGACGGGACGGGTCCTCCTGGCAGCCTCGCGGTGTCTGGATGGGGACGGGACCCCGCTGGCGGCCTCCCGGGGACGGGGCGGGACGAGGCCCGGCCTCCCGCGAGGGCAGACTCCCAGCTCCTACCCCTGCTTTCCCGATTCCGCCCGCGACGGGCTCCGCCGCCGCAGCTGGTGCTGGACGAGAACTTGCGGCCTGGTTCCCCTCTCCATCTGCGCCTGGGGGCTCTTAGGGGCCGGCAGCCCTCTCTGGGGACAAATGCCGCCACTTCCATTACCGTCTCTTTTGTGGGATGAAGGCGCTGAATGATTTTTACCAAGATGGACACATGGTGTAAGGAAAGCGGGTTGTGTTTTCGAAGAATCAAGAGCTGGGCTTGGTGGTGCACGCCTGGAATCCCAGCCGCTTGGGAAGCTGAGGCAGGAGGATGGGGAGTTCAAAGCCAGCCTCAGCAATATAGCGAGGCCCTGTCTCTAAAATATTGAAAAAGGCTGGGATGTGGCTCAGTGAGTGGTTAAGCGCCCCCTGGGTTCACTCCCTGGCACCAAAATAAATAAATAAACAAACAATGATCGTGGCCCAATGGGAGGATAGGCAAGGTGCATAATTAGCAGTGCCTGGAGACCTGGAAGTCTCTGGGGTCTTAGGAGTGCATTCAGCTGGGGCCAGGACGAACGAAATTGGCAGAAGAACTGGCATTTCTTTTGGACCAGGAAGTGTGATCAGATTGGACACAGATGAGAAGGGTGGCATGCCACACTCAGGAGGCAGGGGCAGAGCAGGAGGGTCACAGTGTGGGCAGAAGGTGCCAGCAGAGAGCAGTGTGAGAAGGGATGAGACCCTGGAGGGAGCCAGCCAGTTGCCTCTAGGTCTCAGAGAGTAACAAGACAAGAGAAGAGAAACCAGGAGAGGCTGTTGGAGTCAGAACCCTGCTGCAGACACTGCTTAGATCCAAGGAGAAGTGCTCATTCCGTGCCCCAGAGGCACCACACCATGCAGGGTTTTCAGGGTGCAGGCTCTCTGGGTGGACAGAGCTTTGTCTCCTCTCCTCACTAACATCCTAGAAAGGCACTGTTTTCCACCCCGTGGGCCATGGTGGGTTTTTTTTTTTGTGGTATTGGGGGTTGAAGCCACGGCCTTGAGCTTGCTGGCAAGCAGTCCACCGCTGAGCTGCATCCTAGCCCTCTTCTGCCTTGTTGCTCTCCCTGTTCTCAGCCATTCCCAGCCTCCTTGGAGGGGAGTGGGTGGTAGCCAGCTTCCTTTGACCTGGAAGACACACGTGGCCAGGTACCACTGAACAGTGCTTCTTTTCTTCTTCTGTTTTTCTTTTCTTTTTTTTTCGATACAAGAGATCGAATCAAAGTGTTCTTTTTCTACCACTGAGCTATATCCCCAGCCCTTTTTAGTTTTTATTTTGAGAAGGGACTCGCTAAATTGGTGAGGCTGGCCTGGAACTTGGGATCCTCCTTCCTCAGCCTCCTGAGTGGCTGAATTACTGGCCTGCGCCACCCTGCCCAGCCTGAGCCATGTTTCTTCACACTGAGGAGGTGACTGGATGGTGACGATAGTGTTCTCTGCCATAATGGTGTTGCTGTGCACAGTGGTGACTGTTGTAGACAGCAGCCATGCAGACTGGGATGGAGAAGGAGTGGCTAGGCCACTCTGTATTTCCTTCAAAGTGGGCCCAGTATCATCCTCCCCCTTTTCTCACCAGAGAAGCCCACGTGTGTGGCTGCTTTTCTCTTTGGTGGGCAGGACATGGGTGGACTTCTCAGTGCCAGGTGGGTGAGAAATGCCTGTTCTCAGCTGTTTACCAGCTTCCAGGCGCCACACTGGCAGCACCTCTCTCTTTCAGCTGGGGCGATGCCGGAGCGTGAAGGAGTTTGAGAAGCTGAACCGCATTGGCGAGGGCACCTATGGCATTGTGTGTGAGTGGCCACCGCGGGGTGCTTGGAGGTGCAGCTTGTGGCTGATGAGTACAGGCTGGGTTGCCACGAGGCAGCTGTGTTGGGGCTGGCAAAAGCTTCTCAAGGCTGGGATGTGGCTCAGTGGTTAAGTGCCCCGGGGTTCAATCCCAAAGCTTGTTCAGGAACTTTTAACTCCCAGTGCAGTTTCCATGAACTTTACACCATATCTGAGGGCAAACCTCAGTTTCAGGCTGCTAATATCAGTAACCCAAATGTATAACCATGGAATGCAGCGGCTGTTAGAATATTGAAAGGTAGAATTTTCAGCAGCAGCTGGCGTTCATACCAGCTCTGTTGGTGTGAGACTTTCTGTCTAGTGTTTGGAAGAGGGACCATCCAGATAGAGCACTTTATTTGTTGTTGGAACATAGCTGCAGGCAGATGTGAAGCAGTGGGTCGTGTGTTGCCCGAGGAGGAGAATGCCTGGAGTTTGAGTTGCCGGAGGCCAGGTTTCAGAGAGTCACTGGGTATTCATTCCCACCCAGCCCAAGTGAGGGAGCACCGACCGGGGAGCTTGTCTCAGGAGTATTGCTTGCACAGAGTGAGCACTGAGCATCACTAGGACTGGGTTGCTAGAGGAAAGGGAGTTCTGAGGAGCCTCAGAGGGGCTCCTGCCTAGCACAGAGGGGCTTGTGATGGGTTTCCATTCCAGATCGGGCCCGCGACACGCAGACAGATGAGATCGTTGCCCTGAAGAAGGTGCGAATGGACAAGGAGAAGGATGGTGAGTGGGAGGGGTAGACTACTACAGCTAGGACCTCAAAGCAGGAAGGGGTGTGATGAGGGGGCTGGCTCAGCCTGTCACCTCCAGGCCAGGTTTGTGAAGTCTATCCCCACTGCCTGGAGGTGTGTGGATTCTCTCCTGCCCCTCCTCTTCCTCCAGTCTGGCGATTCACCTCACCTGCCTTCCACACCAGTCTGGCACCCCGCTGAGCCGCAGCTGGGGGGGTGGACCCACCAGGATGCCCTCAGTACAGCAGTGAGCACAGAGTTGCTGATTTTATTGATGAGTGACAGTGACGAGTGGTGTTGGGATGGCCGTCTTCCCGAGCGGGGACAGTAGCAGCATCTTTCACTGGGTGTCCCTAGAGCCTGAAGGCAGGGCAGGGCTCACTGAGCCTTCTCTGTTGCAGGCATCCCCATCAGCAGCCTGCGGGAGATCACTCTGCTCCTGCGCCTTCGCCACCCAAACATTGTGGAGCTCAAGGAGGTGGTTGTCGGGAACCACCTGGAGAGGTACTCTGCTGGGCCCACCACCCGTGTGGGCCCTGCTCCTCTGTGCCACCCTTCCTGCAGTGAGGGAGGGCCTCTGCCCAGAAGGGAGAAGACAGGGTGGGGCAGGTGTTCTCCTGTTTTCCCCCAGCATCTTCCTGGTGATGGGCTATTGTGAACAGGACCTGGCCAGCCTCCTAGAGAATATGCCAACGCCCTT